CCTCATGCATGCAAGGCAAGCGCTCTACCACTGAACCACCTTCCCAGCCCATGTTTGGAAATATTATACATCTATGAAACAGTCACTGAACTCTATGCTATGACATAACCTACAAGTATATCCCCAACATTTTATTTACCTATTATAATTTCCACAGCATAAGATCCCTAGTCTTACATGTTATTGAAATTTATAAGACAATGTTGGTAACCATATAAGCAATTGATGGGTAGAAGGTCAGTAATTATTTATCCTATATAACTAAAACATTGTACAATGTGATTAATATTTCACTGTTTTCCCAAGCTCCTGACAACCACCTTTCTGCTTTCTTTAATTTGACTGATTAAGATTTATCATATAAATGAGGTATACTAATTGCCTTTGTGCCTCCCTTGTTCATTTAACATAATGTCCTACAGGTTCATAGGTTCATTTGTGTTCTTTTTTTTTCTTGTCAGTCATGGTGCTTGAACTCTGGGCCTGGGCGCTGTCCCTCAGCTCTTCAGCTCAAGGCTAGCGCTCTACCACTTGAGCTACAGTGACACTTCCAGTTTTCTGGTGGTTTATTGGAGATATGAGTTTCACTGACTTTCCTGCCTGGGCAGGCTTTGAACCGTGATCCTCAGATCTCAGCCTCCTGAGTAGCTAGGGTTACAGGCGTGAGCTACCAGTGTCCGGCTTCCATTCATGTTCTTAAAAGTGGCAGGAATCCCTTATTTTTTAGGGTTAAATATTATGACATCATATCTATCTATCTATCTATCTATCTATCTATCTATCTATCTATCTATCTATCTATCTATCTATCTATCTATATTACATTTTCTTCATCCATTGGACATATTGATTGAATTTATGTCTTGGCTATTGGGAAAAATTTATCAGTGAATAGAGGTGCAGAGATCTCTTTGGGATCCTGATTACTGTTTCTTTGGAAATAGATCCTGTAGTGTACAAGAAAAAAATCAGTGGTAATACCAAATGCTGGTGAGGAGACTGACAACATATTTTATCATGAATGGACTGGCTTATACAAGGAAGAGTGGCTTTAGTAGCAATTTTCTATAGTGGATATACCACTTTACATTCCTATCTATAGTGTATAAACGTTTCATTTCCTTTAAACATACACACACATACACACACACACACACACACACACACACACACACACACACACACACAGACTCTTTGTTGCTGTTTTTGTCTTATTTGTTCATTGAGCTGTCTTGGGAGGACAAGAGGGAACACAGATGGTGGGACAAAGGATGAACAAATGCAGCCAGTGGTACTCATTAGACACTGTTAGAAAATGAACTATACAACTTGTGGGTGGGGAAGCGAGGGAAAACCGGAAGAGAGCAGGGGAAGGGTGACCTTGTTCAAAAAGAAATCTACTCCCTTTTCTCGCTTATGTAACTGTGACCCCTCTGCACATCGCCTATACAATAACAACAAAAATGCATGAAAGGAAAAGAAAGTATTCTAGGCATCGGGTGATATCTTATTGTGGTTTTTATCTGCATTATCTGATGAGTGGTGTTTTGAGCATTCATGCTTATCTAGTGATAATTAGTGATTCTTTTGAGAATTATCAATCTATTAATATACTTTGCTTTAAATTAGGTTGTTTTCTTTTTATTGATTTGTTTAAAGTGTTTATAATATTTTTCACATTAACTTCTATCAGATATATGGTATGCAAATATTTTCTTACATTCAATGGGTTGTCTCCTAATTCTGTTGATTATATCCATGGCTGTGAAGAAGCTTTTAGTTTAATGATCTCATTTGTCACACTTTTGCTTTTGTGGCCGGTAGTTTTTGAGTTCATATCCAAAAAGATAATTGCCAAACCAATCCCATGGAACTTTTCCCCTGCATTTTCTTCTAGTAGTTTTACAGCTTCAAGCTTCACACTTAAGGATTTGAAACACTCGAGCGGATTTTTGTAGATGAAAATCACTGTTGTGAGCAAGTGTCTACTTTTCTCCTACATGTAAATTTTTGGGCTCTGTATGAAATCTAGGCCTTTTGCATTCCTATTGTTCTCTTGTTAATGTCCCTGATCTGGCTTCTTTGTCTGTTTTTCCAGTTCTAAGCAGTCTGCTCATTTTCCCTCAGCCTATAGTCACTTCCAGTCCTTTATGGCTGCATGGCATCTAAGTCTAAGTTTGCCACAGAGCTGTTATTGGTAGTTTTACTATTTCCGTGCTAGAAGTTGACTTAAGCCCAAGTTTGTCTATCTGTAGCTGGTGTGTTATTCAAAATGACTCAAAGGAATACTTACAGAAGATAATCACTCCCTAAAAACCTCTCTGCTCAGCACTGTAGGGTTCTGCTTGGCTCTGAGCAGAATTGCTGTGAATGGACTAGCCCAACACTCCTGTGCCACACCTGGCACAGTTTGTTGATAATGTCCAGAACTGGTAATGTGCAGACTTGCTACTGATTTTTGTTGTGGTGTTATTTCCTGCAATGTTTCTGAATTTGTCTATCAGTTCTAATAGCCACCCCTCTCAGCCCAAATTCCTTAGCATGTTCTATATATAAGATTTTGTTACATACAAACATAGATAATACAATTTCTTTGTTTCCAGTTTGGATGCTTTTTACTTCTGTTTTCTAATAACTTTCAGCACTATGTAAAATCCTGCTATAGTGATATACATTTTTGTCTTATTTCTGATCTTAGAGAAAAGTTTCAACTTTTCATTATTGAATATAATGTAACTGTGAGCTAATGTATATGATGCTCATTACAGCAGGGAACAATCGTTCTACATCTAATTTGCTTAGAGTCTTTTTTTTTAGTTTTTTTTTTTATTGTGAAAATACTGTACAGAGGGGTTACAATTACATGGGCAAGATAGTGAGTACATTTCTTATCAAGCATTGTAGCCTCCTCCTTTGTTTCCCCTTCCCATCCTTTCCCATCCTCCCTCCCCCCCCACCCAATCCTCCCTCCCCCAAGTTGTAAAGTTCATTTTCAACATGACAACTTGTACTTCTCATTGTTGCAACAGGTTCACCTGTATCCCTGTTTAAACGACTTGTTTTTCCCCTTCCCCTCCAATTATACCGACATCAAATACAGTGAAAACAGGGGCTATACTGTGGAGGAGGGACATACAAAGCAACAAAGAAATAATCTTATAATTGCCTTAGAAACAAATGCATGAAAGAAAAAAGACATTTAAAATACGTATCTTAGGGTTCATTATCCTAACATCACCTTATCTGACCTTTTCTGCTTGACTCATACATATACTAGATATTGCAAATAAGGGAAATCATGGGACCTATGTTTCTTTGGGCTTGGCTTACTTCACTTAATATAATTTTTTCCAAGTCTTTCCATTTCCTAACAAATGGGGCAATGTCATTCTTTCTGATGGAGGCATAGAATTCCATTGTGTATATATACCACATTTTTCTTGATCCATTCATCTACTGAGGGGCATCTGGGTTGGTTCCAGAACTTAGGTATGGTAAATAATGCTGCAATACACATAGTTGTGCTGGTAGCTTTAGTGTGGTCTTGTTTGTAAACATTTGGATAAATGCCCAAAAGTGGGATTGCTGGGTCATAGGGGAGCTCTATGTGAAGTCTTTTGAGGAACCTCCATCCTACTTTCCAAAGAAGTTGAACAAGTTTACACTCCTACCAACAATGAAGTAAGGTTCCCTTCTGTCCACATCCCCTCCAGCATCTGTTGTTATTAGAGTTCTTGATTTTTGCCATTCTAACTGGAGTGAGGTGGTATCTCAATGTTGTTTTGATTTGCATTTCTTTTATGGCTAGGGAGGTTGAGCATTTCTTCGTGTGTCTATTGGCCATCCTTCTTTCTTCTTCAGAGAAGTTTCTCTTTAAGTCATTAGCCCACTTATTTATTGGGCAGTTGTTTCTTTGAGGATTTGTTGTTGGGTGATTTAATTTTTTGAGTTCCAAGTATATTTTAGATATGAGACCCTTGTCCGTTGTATGGCTAGTAAAGATCTTCTCCCAATCCGTGGGCTTTCTATTGATCTTGCTAGCTATGTCCTTTGCTTAGAGTCTTTTCATGAAAGGATGTTGTACTTTGCCAAATGCTTTTTTATTCTTCTGTTGACAAAATTATATTGATTTAGGTGTCCACTGTAGCTATTTCTATAGATGAGAATATGTGCACATAAGATTATGTCATGCACAGATGGTTTTTACCTCTTCCTTTACAGTGTGTCTTTTCTTTCCTTTACTTGGGTAACTGCAAGGCTATATCTAATATATTGAATATAAGAAGCAAAGGAGGGCTGTATTTTAATTTTAAAGAAATAATTACAAGAAGCTAGTTTTCATTTGCATGTGCTGTCTTCATGTAGTGAATAATTTGATCAGCCTTTATGCTGATATTTAATATTGATCTATATTTCATTCTCTGAGCTTTTAAAAAACATCTTTATTATCTTTAACTGTACAAAGCAGTTACTATTCACAAAGCAATTTGTGAATACAATGCATCTTGGTCAATATCACCCCTTCCAACATTCTAACCCACCCCTTAATCCATCCCTTCCTTTACTTTTCATAAATTTTGTAGACTATGTATTGAGCATTTGACTGCATTCTCTGCCTCTTTCCCTCTCTTCATTCATATACCCTCCCCCTTTGACTCTATACCAACCTTTTCAAGTACCAGTTTCCTCTTGTTTATTTTGTTGAGCTATGATTTGGCCTTCCATTGCTTGTGTTTTCCCCTGAAACTACCCATATTTCAATTATTATGTTATATTTAAACAACCCATGCCAAGGTATAGGTTCAGTTGAGAATTCATATTGGAATGTCAGAATACTTGTACCAGAATCACAGTGTGAGTAAGATGCTCAACTTGTGCATCTCCCATGATGATGTAACAAGTAGTTCAGTTTTCCTCATTTTACATGGACTTTCTGAATGACGGTGACATATTGTGTGTTCAATTTTAGTATTGTATCAACAAAACCTGCAGAGGAGCTCATTTAATGGGATATAACTGTAATGCCACTCAAAAATGCAAAGGAAATGGGGTAAGTAATCTTTCCTTTCATAATTTCAAATAGTATGTTATTGTGAGGAATGCAATGAATATCCTGTTTGAGAAGACTGGTCATCTATATTACTTCTAAACTAAATTTGTCTGTGTCTAGCTGATTTATAGAAAAAAGGGCAAGTGAGATAACCCAAAACTGAATGCACTGTATGGTAAACACCAACAATTTGTCATCAGCACTATATATATATATATATATATATATATATTCATAAAAATGCATTTATACGTATTTTATGTCTGTTTTGTTTTTAGGGCATTTGTATGTACTTTATAACTATGTTTGCTTTTGTTTTACTTGTCAAAAAGTATGCCATGATTTTCATCTGTGACATAAACATCCTTCAATCCTCACATCCTCCAATCACATCTGCAGTTACATCCTCCAATCATGTTTCTAGTCATATCCTGATTTAAAAAAATCATAATCCTTGTCTTTTATCAAGTATCTGATTAAATAATTACAAATAAAGATGCATATTTGAGAATATAATATATTCTCCCTCAAAAACTTAATAATTAAAGTGTGTGATTATATATTATTTTACAGAGAGTACATAATTAAAACATGTTGATAGGGAAAATATCTGACAGAAAATTCAATCTTGTGCAAAAGATAGTTTTTACTTTTTAAAAAATTTAACCAAGTAATTGAATCAAAATGTTTTGGTAGGTTGAGGCTGCATTTTCATTTCTTGCCATTTACACATTTGAGTCATTTGTTTACTTTTTTTCTTTGTATATCTGTTTTTTAATTTTATTGTCAAGGTGATATACAGAGGGGTTACTGTTACATAAGTAAGGTGGGAAGTACATTTCTTGTTGAACTTGTTACCCCCTGCCTCATTTTTCACCCTCTTTCTCTCTCCCACATCCCTCCCCTAAGTTGTACAAATCATTTCTTGTGAGTATTGCTGTTGCGGGTTGGTGTTTTCTTATTTTCATAGAAGGAAATCAAGTACAGTCAACAATAAGAGAATCCAAATTCACCAAAATTTACTAGTATTAAAGTTTATAATTTGTAAATATGTTAGTTTGGAAAATATAAAATTTGACTATGAAGCTGGGCACCAGTGGCTCACGCCTGTAATCTTAGCTACTTAGGAGGCTGAGATGTGAGCATCATGGTTCAAAGCCAGACCGGACAGGAAAGTCTGTAAGACTCTTTTATTTGTGTGTGTGAAAATACCATACAGAGGCGTCACAATTACATGGGCAAGGTAATGAGTACATTTCTTATCAAGCATTGTTGCCTCCTCCTTTGTTTCCCCTTCCCATCCTATCAGAAAACCAGAAGTGGCACTGTGGCTCAAGCAGTAGAACGCTTACCTTGAGAGAGAGCAGGGATAGAGCCCAAGCCCAGAGTTCAAGCCCCACGACCATCAAAACAAACAAACAGGTTGTTAACAAAAATGAAGCGATGTCTTCTTTTATCTTTTCTTTTCTTTGTGTGTGTGTGTATGTGTGTATTGAGACTTGAACTCAGTGTCTCTCACTATTGCTCAGCATTTTTGCTCATAGCTGGTTCTCTACCACTTAAGCCACATACCAACAGTCTTTCTTTTGTATTTTGTATAATTGTTACCTGATCTGTTGCTTTCTTATGTAAATTTTTCTCTTAAGTTTCAATCTTAATATTTTATAAAATCTCACATCAGCATTGTATAGTGTCAAGTTTTTGATACTTTATCATATTGAATACCTTCCTTCCTTCCGAATCATTCCTTCCTTCCTTCCTTCCTTCCCTTTCCTCTCTCCCTCCCTCCCTTCCTCCCACCTCTCCCTCCCTTCCTTCCTTCTTTCCTTCCTTCTTTCCTTTCCTTCCTTCTTTCCTTCCTCTCTCTCTCCTCTCTTTCTCTCTCTCTTTCTTTCGGCCAGTCCTGGGGCTTGAACTCTGGGCCTGGGAACTGTCCCTGAGCTTCTTTTGCTCAAGGCTTGCACTCTACCACTTGAGCCATTTTGGAATTTGAGGCCTCTGGTGTTCTAACAAATTTGTTTCCTTATTTTGTTTCTTAAAAATTATGTCACTCTGGAAATTAGATTTGTGACTTTAGGTCAAAAGTTCTGTCATGTGATTGTTCTACTTTCACAGGCAGCTTAGAGTTCTCTGATAGCACATTATGCAAAGTGTGGGAGGAAAAATAAATGGAAGATAATGGGAGATACATATTTAGAGATTGTACATATCACAAAAATAAAATGATCCAAAATAACTATTTTTGTGAGGCTAAAAAGACCCACAAAAGTTGCCTAGAAAAGTTCAGTTTTCCCCCAAACTCTGAAATTCTTAATATCATCCTCTGTTACTTTTTCCTATCATGGAGGAGCCTGAGGCTAGCTTCATTGTGTTTACACTGTACAGAACTTTATATGATTACTTTTCTATGTTCTCATTTCCTGGAGATTACAGGCATTGCCAATAAGGGTTTAACATTTGTGAGATTTGTCCATTTTTCCTGTTGGAAAGCCAGCCAGTCTACATGTGTGATCTGAAATGCCAATACTTAATTATTAACTGGTATTATTTCGCTCTAACCAACCATCATTTTTTAGTGAAATTATAGTGATACCCTTTATTGTTTTATGTCACTGAAATAAATGCATATTGGTTCACAAAAGGATGACAATTGTGGAATAAGCTTAAAATGAAGCACAAAGTTGTATTCAAAATCTTATTTCCTGCACCTGCCAAACCAGGTGCAGTGACTCATGCCTGTAATCCTATCTACCTTGGAGTCAGAGACTGTGAGGATTGAGATAGAGGCCAGGTTGGGCAAAAAATTTGTTTGATCTCAACTTATCCAGTAAAAAGCTGGGCATGGCAGCGTTCCATTTGTCTTGCCACTCCAGGGCAGGAAGATTTTGTTCCAGGTTAGCCCCAGGCACAAATGTGAGATCCTAGCTACAAAACAAAAGACAACCAAACTATTAAAGACAAAAGGACTCAGGGCCTGACTCATGTTGTAGAGCCTGAGCTCAAACCCCACAAATAAGTCTCTATCTCTCTTTCTGTCTCTATCTCTGTCTCCATCTCTATCTGTCTCTATATTAAACCAGTACAATTAAGAGTCAACCATAGAGGAGATGTATAGAGTAAAACTACCTGTGGAATTCAAGATTATAATAGTTTGAACACTTTGTTTAATTTCTTTTGATACATAGGACAAAGGGGTTAGCAGTTTCAGTGAACTTTAAAGCTATTAGTTGAGTATGAGTGTAGGCATAGGGTAATTCTGTAGGATTATTGGACTATCCAGACTATGGAATATTATAAGTACAATTTTTAAACCCTGCAGGTTCTGAGCTGGGGATTGTAGATCAGTGGTAGAATGCTTACCTAGCATGCACAAGACCCTTTGTTTGATCCCTAGTACTAGAAAGAGCAGTGTCAATTCTGCACATTTATACCTACAAGTATGATAACTTCATGGTATATTATCCACATTACTTTGGAAAAAACACATCACATCAATATGTTTGTATCTATTGGCATGTATGCTTCTAAATACATGTAAGATACACACACACATATAATTAAGTAGTTGTACAAAGAGGTTATAAAAAATTCCACATGCCAGATTTTGAGTAGAGTGCACTTTGATCAATCCCACCCTTTTCATTGTTCTCCCCTATTTTACCCCTTCCATCCCTCCCCTCAAATTACATAGATCAATTTGTACACACTGTACATGAATAAAATGATTGCATTTTCTCATCCTTCCTCACACCTTTCATGTTCCCCCATTCATCTTCCCCCCCACTAAACATGTTGCTGCTTTCTGGTATTCATTTTTTAATGCAGTTTATTAGCTGTTAGAAGCATTACAACTTTGGGCTCCTCCCCTAAGTGTGCTGTCCTTTAGTCAATTTGTTTGTGCATATATACACAAAACCCTGTATATGTTATCATATAGGCTTGTATTTTAGACCTAGCTTCCACATATGAAAGACAATACATGTCATTTGTCTCTGTGTGCTGACTTACTTAAAATGATTTTTTCTACATTCATCAATTTCACTGCAAATGACATAACATTCTAATAGATAAGTGAAATACCATTGTATATATGTATCATATTTTCTTAATCCAGTCATCTATTGTAGGGTACCTGGGCTGTTTCCATAACTTGGTTGTGGAAACTTGGTTCACTTGGTAGCAGTGAACATGGATGTGCAAATGTCTTTACCATGTCCTGATTTGTAATGCTTTGGGTAGATGCCCAAGAATGGTATGGCTGATTAGGTTTTTGAGTGAACTCCAAACTGCCTTCCAGAGTGGTTGCATGAGCTGACATTCTCACCAACAGTGCAATAAGGCTCCTTTTCCTACCTTCCCACCAGCACTGGTTATTGTTTATATTCTCAATGCTGGCCAGTCTTACTCGGGTGAGATGGACTCTTAATTCATATATTTAAAAATTAATATTAAAATATTAAGATGTGAGGCACCAATGATTTGGGAATAATGCCAAAAATAAACTTCTAGTAATGGATAATTTTCCTAATTTTAAAAAAATAGTCGCTTTATGTATCCCAGATTGTCCAGGAACTCACTAACCTCCTACCTCAATATGCTGAGTGCTGGGATTATGGATGTGTGTCACTAATCTGATGCACATTTTTGTTTTAATGTTAAGTATTAATATTTTATTTTCAAATGGTTTTGTTTTGGAAAATATATTTACTTGAAAACAGCATTATTGACTAAGTATTGTGAAATGCTATAAAAGAGCTAGGATAAGAAATTTAAGTGTTCATGTTCATTGATATTTGTCTTATACCCATAACAGAAAATAGAGTGCACATAGAAAATGTCCAAAGTATGATCAAAGTTGTTTCCAAAATAAGAAGACAATATTGTGAAAACATTTAAATTTCTCTCTGTGGATGCAAAGCACATAACCTTATTTAATATCATTTTTAAAGGTTATTGGAGAAGATAAAAATCTTACTAAAATAGTCAATATATAGCTGCTAAAAATATATACCCTGTTGCCAGTTGATATTGTTGAGATTGTCACTACTTTTCCCTAACCCATTTCCTATAATGTATAGTAATAAACATGAAAAATATGAAAAAATTACTTCCTCTGTGTAAGTCAGGCATTTATATCAGAAAGAGATACTAAAACATGTCAAAGTGACCAAATATTTTTTGGTTTCAGATATGCAATAATTTGGGGAATTGCCACTGCTTTCCTGGCCATCGGCCTCCAGACTGTGAGCTCCAGATTGGCTCACCAGGGGGCAGTGTCGATGATGGAAATGTGCAGAAATCTGGTCAGTATTGAAAGCAAAATAGAATTTTGTTTTCTGTGGAGCAGAGTAAAGAAATCTAGTTCTAGTCAAATCTAGTCAATCATTCATGCTGTGACTAGTTCAAAGAGTTATTGTGAATGATAGTGCTATTTAAATGATTATACAATATTTGTTATCAGATTTTCTGAAACATTCAACTGTAATCAATCTAGTAAAATAAGCTAAAATAGTATACTGCCTTTAAGTGTCAATAAATGTCAAGAAGTCTATGTAGAACATATATGTAGAATTGAAAATTATGTATAAAATAATGAAAACTACATGCATTATTTGTACTACACATTATAATAAATTGTAGATTATTAAAAAGAAACTAGCTGGATATTGGTGGTATATGTCTGTATTCCTAACTATCCAAGAGGCTGAGATAAGTAGGATCAGAGTTCAAAGCCAACCTAGACAGAAGAGTTCTTGAGATTCCATCTTAGAATATCTCACAGAAAGCCAAGCTGGAGGTGACGCTTAAGTGATAGAGTACAAGTCTAGGAATTGTGAGTCCTTGAGCACAAACTCTAGTGCTGGGGGGGAAAAATCAACTGTACACTATGAGTGACATTTTCAGAAAAACAAAGTATATTAGGAAAAATAGTAAATAACATTTTGAGTGATGGGGTACATATTGATACTTTCTCCTATGGACGAAGGCAAGATCACAGCTATTAGTTGATTTAAGGAATGTATATTTTATTTGGCATCCAGAGAAATAACAAAATTGGGTGCTAGTGGCTCATGCCTGTGATCCTAGCTATATGCAAGAGGCTGAGGTCTGAGGATCATGGTTCAAAGTCAGCCCACACAGAAAAGTTTGTGTGACTCTTATCTCTTATCTCCAGAAAACTCAGAAAAAGCAAGAAGTGGTGCTGTGGCTCAAGTGATAGAGTGCTAGCCTTGAGCAAAAGAAGCTCAAGGGCAGTGTCCAGGCCAGTTCAAGCCCCAGGACCAGCACACACACACACAAAATTGTGATTCCATTTCAAGAAGTCTACATATGCAATAAGGTGGAAGAATATGGAAGTTTCATAATGTCAGCCTGAATGAAGTTAGGTTATTTAGAATGCAATGCCCTTGATTAGAAAGTCCTGAAGTAAACAATGGAATGCAAATAAGTTACTTCATAGTATCAGAAATTTGTAAGAAACAATGAAAAAAGGGTGCTTCTCAATTATATATGAAACCTGGGGACAATGGCTGAGGATGGGATCCAGATTCCCGTGAAAGAATCAGCATGGGTAGAGCATCAATATCATCAGTTTAATTTTATATAAAGGAGTTAATTATCTGATAGTGAAGATGTCATTGGACATTTGGCAAAGGTGTTTGTAAGTTATTAGGTATTGCACGCATTGACAAACCAGAGTGTGTAGTTAATCTGTATAACAAAGCAGTCCATGGTATAGTAAAAGTGATGTACAGTAAGAGCAATGGCTAGAAGTTGAAGAAGCAACAGTATTTTGGAAGCAAAATCTCTGAGATAATTGCTAATTCTTGAAAAAGAAACTCTGAGAAATGGACATTCATTTCCAGCCATGATAGAATAATAAGAAAAAATTGCATTAATATTTGTCAACAAGTAAGAGTATTTCAGTATATACTATGTGGGACATGAATTACATAAGTTGTGGGCAAAGACGGGGGGGGGGACACTGGGGGAAATGAAGGAAAGGCTGACATTGTCCAAAAATAGAAACATACTCATTATCTGATTTATGAAATGATAACCCTTCTGTATACCTTAATAACAATAAAATTATGATTTAAAAACCCAGAGTATAAAAATGTGATCTTTGAGAAATAAATGGCAGGTGTGAGACAATGTATATATACAATGTATATAGTGTATATATGTGATGAAAGATTCAGGAGAGAAAGAGGGAGATAATTTACAGAAAAGATTTTGCTGTTTATTGTGGGGCTTGAAATCTGGGCCTGGGCACTGTCCCTCAGCTCTTCTGCTCAAGGCGAGAACTCTACCTCTAGAGACACAGCGTCAATTCCAGTTTTCTGAGTGGTTTATTGGAGAGAAGAGTCTTATGGACATTCTTGTCTGGGCTGGCTTTGAACCGAGATCCTCACTTCTCAGCCTCCTAAGTAGCTAGGATTTCAGGCGTGAGCACCAGCAACCGGCAGAAAATATTTTTTTCTTTAGTTTTTTTTTTAATTGTGAAAATACTTTACAGAGGAGTTAAAATTACCTGGGCAAGATAAGGAGTACATTTCCTATCAAGCATTGTAGCCTCCTCCTTTGTTTCCCCTTCCCATCGCTTCCCATCCTCTTCCCAATCCCCACCCAATTCCCACCCACCAAAGTTGTAAAGTTCATTTTCGACATAAGGACTTGTATGTCTCATTGTTGCAACAGGTCCACCTGTATCCCTATTTAAACGATTTG